TCAATTTTCTAGACCTCAATATCACTATAGGAAATCAGGGTGTCATTGAAACGACCATCTATTGTAAAACCTACTTACACCAACAGTTTATTACATTGAACTAGCCAACATTCAATGTCTTTGAAACAAAGGCATCCCCACGGGACAGTTCATGAGAGCCAAGAGGAACTGTTCTATGGAGGATGCTTTCCAGGCTGAGAGCCTCAAATTGGTGGAGAGGTCAAGGAGACAAAGTTATTATCTAGGGGATTTTAAGAAATCATATGAGAAAGTGAGTGCAATATCAAGGGAATATGTCAAAAAAGGAAAAATGCCATCCAAGTTGATACGGTAACCGTATCTAAATAGTATCTTCGACTCACTGAAAATAAAAGTGTGGATTATAAACCTAAAAATCCTGGAACACAGAAAAAATAGCAGTTGGCTAGTGCAATACCGCCTGGAAAGTGGTTAATTGAAATCCTATGCAGAGTAATATATCACTACAAAAGTGACTGCGATATTGTATTTATTCAATCACTTAGATAATGAAAAAAGGTTGACATTGACAGGGTGAACATGTTGCAATCATATTAAAATCAAAGAATTAAAATAAAGAACCGTTCGGCGTATTCTAAAAATGGCTGTATAGGCAAAAATGATCCATATGAGGCAATGGAATTTCCTTTCTGTATTCATCTGCAGTAAAGTTCCATATTGTATAGCCTAGTGAAGTCGTTTTCTTCTTTAACTGTTCCTTCATGAACAGCACAGTAAAGATGGATGAACTCCTAGGAATTAGATAATGGATAATGATGAATACAGAGGAATCAGGATAATAACTATGACACCAGCCTAATAAGCTGCACAAATTCAGATTGATGAGATGTATCTCTTTACCTTCTCAGTGCCTGTTCTGACGAAGTCTGCGATGATTGGCGGACAAAACGCGTCAACGTAATGACATCATCACGTTCGGTATCTTCATAGGCTGCAGTATCCATAAGGGGAAAGAATCAAGCTCTGCAGCTCCATCTTGGATAAGCACGAGGCAAAATAGAATATGGCCAGGCAGTCACTCTGAGGAGCTTTTTTGACTCAATTCACTTCAACCGGTGGCAAGTAATAGAGTGTTAAGCTGAGTCACTTTAGACTGCAATTTTTATAAACGGGAGCTATACCCTATGCAATATCAGATTTGCCTGAGCCCTATTTTGAGGGAAATTTTTGGACTCTAAAGGTATATACTATATACTGTGTAGTGATGTATTACTCCGCATAGGATTTCAATTAACCACTTTCCAGGCGGTTTTGCACTAGCCAACTGCCATTTTTTCTGTGTTCCAATATCAAGGGAATCCCTACATGGTCCAAACAGGACAAAGAGAGATGATAAATCAAGTATGTGAATTATAGGCACCTACTCCAGTCAATCAGGTAAAATTTTCAATATCATTAAAAAATATTGGAATCTATTACATAAAGACAAATACTTGTCCCAGATTCTCCCCAAGGACCCCATGATTATCTACAGGAGAGGTAGGAATCGTAGAGACATGCTGATATATAGCCACTTGGACAAAATCCAAAGGACACCTAGTAGACATAGATATACCAGATAGACCGAAGGGCAGTTTTAAATGTGGACATTGCAAAGCATGTACTTATGTCCCGACAGTCAAGGAATTTGTTAATCCAAAGAATGGTGAAGTGAAAGAAATAGGAGTGTTTTACATTTGTAGTACAGAGGGAGTTATGTATGCAATGAAATGCCCTGTCTAAGTCTATGTGTAGATAAAACAATTCGCCCTTTTAAACGAAGGATTTTGCAACATATCAATGATATTGTTTTGAAGAAAGACAGACCAGTGGCTAGGCATGTCTTAGCTAAATGTGGTGGTCAGACAGAATTATTGAAATTTTGGGTAATTGAAAAAATTCAGCTGGGCCCAGGAAAGGGGGACTTGGACAAATGTCTTCTGAAGCTCAAGGCCAAGTGGATTTTTCATTTAAATTCACAGGCACCATATGATTTAAATGAGGGATTTACCTTTCTGCTATATTTTTTGTATGATTAATAACTCTATTTATGTATATTTTATGTCTAATTAATAGATTTGGTATGGACTGTTCAGCAGTATGTGGATGATCAGGATAGCCCAATAAGGTTGAAATGCACTGGTGGAATAACATAATATATTTTGTAAGTAGGTTGTCTTTTGATTGGCCTATAAATGCTCCCTATATGTTGGAGACTTGCTAAATATCTATTGATGGCACCCCTTAGATATGGAGCATTTTTTAGCACTTTTTGTGTATATGAGAGTCGGTGATATCTGCTAAAAAAATTTAGTTTATGCGGTAATAGTGGAACTTTTGTCCTCAAGATGGTGCCGCTTGCAGGTAGCCTAGGAGAGATTTAATGTAGTATTACATGTGACATTGGATTCTGCACTGTGTGTTGTTTATTAATTCTATGAAATGATCTCACTGATATGCTGCTCTGGGTGGTATGTTCTTTGTTCTTAAGATGGCGTTGTTCGATCCACACTGAGAATGTGGATCAAAATGGTGTTGATGATGTCAGAATGTAACGGCATGATGACTCACATGTGTAATCACGCACGCGGCAGCCATTTTGGCTAGCAAATCTATAAATAGAAGTGTAAAAAACAACTGACTCTATTTCCTCAACACGTGACCAGGGGAATACATCACATTTTCTGTTGCTCACTCTTTCACTTCGCTTTACCCCAACGAAGTTCTGCTGTTGAGCGAAACATGTAGGACATTCTTTATGGTTTCTTTCTTTAGAGCACTGTTTTTTGGGGTTTGCATTTTTTCACAATATATGGTGATCCCACAAGCCAACCAGGAATTTTTGGTGGATATGGTGATGTGTGGGGCCTGTCCAATAGTGGTGTAAGTTATTGCCACATGGATTGGTGTACCCATACTACATATCTGTAGCGAGATATATAGATGTGTTGAGGCTATTTAATAGAGTGCTAACATGATAGAATGGATGGGATGTGCTTAATTTATGACACCAACAGATCTATCCTTTCCCTCTGAGATAAGATGACCAATGGACATGGTATCTCTATACTACATACTATGTCTGTGCTATCAGATGAGTGTATTGATCCAAAGTAAGTATGGTATCATTTATGAAAACAGGGATCACATGTGCTGTGATTTAATAGGTGCTCCCATTGCCTGTCTCAGCCAATGAGGAGAGAAGAGTCCCAGGATTGCCAGACTCCAGTGCACATCACTGGATGGAGAGGGGGCTTATGTGAGTACTGCGGGGGAGAGAGCTGGGAGAGCTGCTGCACAGAGAAGGTTTTTTACCTTCATGCATAGAATGCATGTAGGTAAAAAACTTTGAATCTTTACAACTACTCTTATGCAAGTCTATGGGACACAGACTTGTAAATTCAAAAGTGCAGTGCCCATTTTGAAGGGTTATATGCAAGTTTTTGGCCATAAAAGGGTTATGGGGACTCTCGGGCATGGTGCATGCAAAGTGCATGGGGTTCCCCCTAAAAGCCATACCAGGCCCTTAAGGCCTGGTATGACTTTTAAGGGGAACCCCACCCCAGAAAATAGGGGAAAAAAAACCTGGGGTCTCCCGTAAATTGCTACCAGACTCTTGATCCTAGCTCAGGCCTGGCAGGGCAGGAAAGGGAGAGGCAAATGAGCCACATTGGTGGTTTCAGATGTTGATTCCCTGCTGGCACCCACGATCACTGAGTATCACTGGCGGTGGAGAGGTCTGTATGTAAACAATACAGATCTCTCCCCTGTCAGCTCCAGCACACTGCTTTGTATTGCTCTGCATTGTTTATAATACAAAAAAAATGCAGAGGCGATCAAATACCACCGAAAGAAAGCTCCATTTGTGGGAAGAAAAGGACATAAATTTCATTTGGGTGCAGCATTGCATGACTGCTCAATTGTCAGTTAAAATAATGCAGCGCCATATCGCAAGAAATGACCTGGTCAGGAAGGGGGGTAAATCCTCTGAAGGGCAAGTGGTTAAATAATAGGCTATGCATGCTTCAAGTATAACCATGATTATTTAGCTGCTATGTCTGGTTTGCAATGGCTCCATGCTTCTGAATTCTGGCAGTCGTCCTATTATCGTCTGAAATGGTAACATTGTTAAAGAACAATAGCTGTTATGAGTTACTTCAAAGGAATTAGGAAATGATCCTCAATAAATTACATTTTTGCCATTCTCAGTAAATACCAGATAATTGTCCTTCATGAACACAAAGAAATGGATGACAGGAGACAGCCTCTACAGACAGGCTATACAAGCAGCTCTTCACCCTGAGGGCCAGTTCACACCACAAAAAATGCACTTCAGAGGCATTCCGGATATGCTTTTGCTTACATTTCTCCGTTTGTGGAATGCAGTCTTCTGTCATTCCACAGATTTGCAATGGGGTTTAAGTCTGGGCTCTGACTAGGCCATGCAAGGACATTCATCTTTTTCTCCTTCAACCACTGTGTGGTCAGTCTTGCTGTGTGCTTTGGGTTGTTGTCACGTCGGTAGGTAAACCTTCTTCCCATCGACAACTTTCTGGCAGAGGGCAGCAGATTGTCCTCAAGAAGTTGACAATATTTTGCCCCATCCATTTTTTCTTCTATCTTGACCAGTGCTCCAGTCCCTGCTGCAGGGAAACCCCCATAACAGGGTATTACCACCACCATGCTTTACTGTAGGAATGGTGTTATTTGGATGGTGAGCTGTATTGGATTTACACAAGACACATCATTTAGTGTTGAGGTCAAATAATTCAATTTTAGTCTCATCTGACCATAACACCTTTTTCCATGTGGCCTCAGAATTTTCAAGGTGCATTTTGGCAAAGCTCAGTGGTGACTGCATGTCAGGGCTCCCAGGTGTGACCAGAGGTGTATGGCTGACGCAGGGAAACGCAGACCTCAGATATGTTATAAACAATATAATTTATTAACACTAACAATACAAACATAAACGCAGTGCAATACTAAAACATAATACAGTGAAACCAAACCAACCACCCACAGATAACAGTACATACAAGCAAGCGTCGTCAGGCAGGCCGGGTCAATATCAATAGGGCAGGTAGGTACAGGGGGAGCAAGCGGAGATTGGTCGGGGTCACAGGCCAGGTTCAGCAGATAGCAAGCAGCGTAGTACAGAGGGTCAGGCAGAGGGATGGTCAGGGTCACAAGCCAGGGATCAGAACAGGTAGCAAGCAGCGTGGTACAGAGGGTCAGGCAGAGGGATGGTCAGGAGCGAGCCGGGATCAGAGCAGGAGAAGTCAGCAGCGGTTCAGAAACAGGATGCAGGACAGATACAGGGCCCAGGCCAAGGCAGAGTCTGTGGGTCTGGCCATCCCTTAAATACCCCAGCATAATCAGTTCCAGGTGTTAGCTGGCTGCAAAGTTGAGTCTCTGATTGCTGGGAGCATCCGCTGGCCAGCCCTGGTACTGCAGATCAAAGCAGGTGAGTCCCACCATTGCTGGCCAGTCCATTCCTGACACTGCATGTGGCCTTTCTCAAGGAGTGAATTTTTTGTCTTGTAACGCTCCCATACAAGCCACATTTGTGGAGAATTTGTGATATTGTTTTCACATGCACACAATGACTGCTTCAGAGTTGCTGTAAGCCTCTTGGTACTCTTGGTACCCAGCCTCTTGGTACCCTCTGTGACCAGTTTCCTCCTGGCTCTTTCATCCAGTTTGGAGTGATGTCCGGATCCAGGGAGGGTCTGTGTTATACCAAATACCTTTCACTTCTTAACAATAGACTTCACTGTGCCTCTAGGCACTGTTGATAAAGTCTTTAAAATGTTTGTTTTGTTTCCATCTCCTGACTTTATACCCGGGGATGTATTGACAGTGCCTTGCCACCCGTAGTTGATTGTTTGCTTCAGTTGCACTACACAGGACTGAAATGCTCCAGAAAAGCTCATGCTGAGCTAATCAAAATGACCACAGCTGATTACAGTTGAAAGTCAAATGGCTTTGTGTGCCATTGAGAAGATGATTAGCTACACCTGAATGAGTTAACAAACCATTTTTAGGAGGGGGGTGATCCTTTTTTCAACTCAATGATTCTGTTTTTGAATTTGTAAATGTTTTTTCTGACATGTTGGTGTTATATCTTTTACTTGGATGTTATAAGTTGCCTGAGTAAATAAAGCTGGATAAAAAAAACTGTGTCTGTCTTCATTTCAGGCTGCAGAGCAACAAAATGTGATTATTTTTATAGGGGGTGATTATTTCTATACACACTGTATATGAACCTTCATATTAACTTAATAATGAATGTCAACGAATAAAAAAAAAATTAAAATTAACAAATGCATTTGTTTAATTCAGATAACGTCACATGATCTGATAGTAATGGATAGCTTGGATTCGGATGACGAATGGATCGGAATTTTGTTCCATTCATTTATTTGTATGTAACTGATGCCAGTAGATATTGTCCAGTTAGCTCATGCCATTTCTCTTACTGGGGATGGATTAGTGTCAGAAAATATTAAATCCTTTGAATCTGAATCTGTCCAATTCAATAATTTATCGAATATATAATATTCTTCTGGGAAAAACTGCAAAATTTTATGAATCCACTTTGACCAGCAAATATACAAAACAATTGCCGAAGACACGAAAAGAATTCTGAAAATATATTGAGTCAACTAACGAATATGACAAAATGAAATTCTTCAATGAATGAATGCATCCGAAGCAAACATTTTTTGCATGCATGTGTCTACTTTATAAAACATTAACTACTCATATTAGCTGTTTAAAGGGACTAAGCAATCTTTATTCACAAAAGGACATAACGTACAGGCGATGATAGTTGCAAGGGATTTATTTTGATATCTGCTATCAAAGGGTCTTCTATGTACAAGGGGCACATGCTGACTGCTACTTGCAAATAAGCATAGCTACGTTAGCAATAGCTCCTGTTATATCTATATCATAGTTGATGTTTGGACATGTTTTAATGTGTTGTGATGGACAAAGTTGTTTTTTTTGTTTGTAAGGTGGAGGGAGATTTTTGTGCAATAATCATTTTATATGTATTGGACTGAGCTTCATTTAGTGCAATTTTGATAACAAAAAAAAGACTTTCTACAATTTATATTGTGGTGGTTGGTACATGGCCATTGGTCTCTAGATATATGGATAATTTTTAGTTGACGGAGACTATGTGTTTTTAAGTGGATTATTTTGAGCCATTGAGACTGGATCAAAAATTGACAGTAGGGCATAAAACCTCTTTGAATAGCCTATATTTTGTATTGTTGTTAGAAGCATGCACTAGGGGAACCCTGCAGAGGACTGACCTGTCCTCTGCATTGTACTTGTAGAATTTTCTGAGACACATATAATAGTGTTTAGTGTCTTTAGGCGATTTCAGATAATTAAAGAGCCAGCAAAATAAAAATAAAGTGTGATTTTATTTTATCACACAATGGCTTAAATAACAAATGTATCATGAATAGCAATCAGTGTAGGTCAAAATAAATAAAAGTTATAAAGATGTGTCAACCTTATTGTCATGGCTGTCCTGCCATGTGGTTCTTGTCTGTTCAATGTGTCTGAGCAAGAAGAAGGAAGTGACGTGATCTTAGGTCTCTAAGAGAATGCACCTGTTTCAGCTTCTTAGTATATGAATAATGACAGAGTCGTCATGCTTTGCTTGTGTCTGTCTGTGTGTGAAATGGACAGACATATGTATGTGTATTGTGTGTTGCCCTTCGCATCTCTTAGGATGTCTTTTTGTGTTACATGTAGACGTCATAATTCTCATAACTCAAAAGCTTGTATGGCAAACAATTCTGCTTAGAGCGATTTCATTGAAGGGAGGGGATACTACATATTATGGTCTTTTGATTGACAAGCCCATATGTAGTGGCTTCCTAAGTTGACAATGTTGCATCAACCTACTCATGTGACAAGTTTCTCTGTTTAAAGGATAGTATAACTAAGAATTTATCTTTACAATATAATATCTCAATATTGTTGTATAACCAAAAATCGACTTATGTAACACTTATTACCAGTTTATAAAACATAGATTAAATACACACAGATACTATTAGAATATATTATTTCATACTAATTCTATTTTGGTTCACTTCTGACTCCTATGACATCCTACACCAGAGATCTTCTAACCAGCTATGCCCGTCTACAGAAAATCCTAAATACTCAGCTTCCAGCTAGTTAACTTAACTCCAAATACTCTGACATTTTTCTGTCTCAGCTATAACTGAAGAATTCAACACTATCACTTGTTCAAGGCCAACGACACATTTTAATATTAATTATGATTAATCATAAAAAACCAAAAACCAAATATAATGCAAGCTTGCCATAAATATAATATAATTCCTATAAGTGCCGAAATTATGAATTTGGAATTAATGCTTAATAGTACTTTTGATGCCCATCTTGGGGGGGGGGGGGGGGGGCAGTGTCTGATTGGGTAGTGAGCTCTCTTGTGATTTGAGCAGACATATTGGACCCAGGTAGGCTATATACTGTATAGCCCCTGCTCTGCTCCTCCAGCAGTTATTGGAGTGTTGGGCTGTAGAGGGGTAGGAGCATCTGGCTCAGGCTCTCAGCGGTGTGCTGAGAGGCTGAGCCAGCTGCCAATCATGTATCTGGGTGGATCCTGACCAGGGGCGGACTGACCATTGGGAAACTCGGGCACCGCCTGAGGGCCCGGGGTCAGTAGGGGGCCCCATGAGATGCTCCTGGTACCTTTTTCATAGGCTTTTTTGAGTTTGGGCAAGGACACAGGGGCCCCATGATCCCCTATTGCCCCAGGGCCCCATGAGTTGTCAGTCCGCCTCTGATCCTGACCTTAAGGTCGGAATTTTTCCAGAGCTTGGACTGTCCCTATGATGTTAATGCAGACATGCAGAAAAAAGTTTCAATATATATGCACGTTCATGGGCATGTAGCACCCTCCTAGATAGGTCCTAGGTTAGGTAACTTTTGTTTTGTGATCTGTGTGTTTATTTCGGTGGTGTTTCACAGGCTGCAGGGTTGACTGCTTCCCCCCGTCTGTTGGAAATGTTCTAGAAGATAGAGGTCAGGGAGAGTTGATTTAGCAATCCCTGAGGTGCCCATATGCTGACTGGGAGTATGTATAAATACTCCTAAGACCTAGAACAGAGGTGTCTTGTCCCTGAGGAGGAAATCAGCCTGGGAGGGGTTGTTTGCCCCCTGAGTAAGTCTACCATGTGTCTGCTGTTCTACAACGTCCTAGCTAGGCTAGCTGGGGGCCTATTCTGCTGAAAGTTGCTGGAGCTGACTGATGGACTTTTCATCTGAGAATCTAGTCTGGTATCACTGAAAAAGTCTCTGAAAGATATTGGAAGGAGGCAGACACCTATCAAAGTAAATACAGACTGGTGTGGGTGATTCTTGAGACTGTGTCAATACCTCTTGTGCTAGAGTCAGTTTTGTCCAAAGGGACATTGTATGTGGTGTCCTGAAAAGCTTAGTCCATTAACTGCTTGTTCAAGGACTCTGTTCAGATCCTTAAGAGAAAGTTGAACATCTTCAAGTTGCTACTACAAAGTTCGGCCAAATATTTGCTACAAGCAGGGATCCTTGCTCACCTTGTTAAGAGGAAGTTTAGTGTCCTTAAGTTCACTACTAAAAGTTACTGGAGTGTCCCACGTTACCCTGAACTAATCCAAGCTCATGTTCTGCAATAAAGAATCAGAAAAGACCTCTACACTGTGCATTGAGCCAAAGGAGTGACAGTGACTGTGTGCTTTACTGCAGAGCAACTACTGGGAAAAGATCCCTGGGCATCTATTCAGCAGCCCAATAGAATGCATTAACATGCAAATGCACATACACACACATTAACGCACATGCAAACCATGGCATTGGGTAACTTTTTTTAGCTGCTTTTTCCTCCCCTATAGCAAAAGCATCCAGGGAAGGAAGAAAATGTCCTGGGTATGCGGGAAGCACAGTGGCTAAATGGTTAGCACTTCCGCCTGGCAGTACTAGGGTCATTGGTTCGAATCCCAACCACGGCACCACCTACCTGGAGTTTGCATGTTCTCCCTGTGCCTGCGTGGGTTTTCCTCAGTTTTCCTCCCCACAATCCAAAGACATGCTGAGAGGTGAAATGGCTCCTGTCTAAATTGGGACTGGTATGTGTATGTATGTGAGTTAGGGACCTTAGATTGTACACCCCTTGAGGGTTAGGGACTGATGTGAATGTACAATATATATGTAAAGCGCTACGTGAAAATTGACAGTGCTATATAAGTACCTGAAATAAATAAATATGAGATCTAAACACTGGGAAATGTACATAAAGCTGTGATGCGCTAAACTTTTTTT